CCTAGGATGAATGATCGGGTTTGGTGTTACTCCTCTTCTTGCCCATGAATGACTGCGAAACATGTGTAAATTAAATGAACTTTCATAAATAAAAACAATATTTCGATAGCGATTAATAGGCGAGATTGAAGTATACCACCTAACATATTCAATACGAAGATTTTTTACATCATTGTTGTTTCTTCTTTCATAAATTGGTCGAGTAATTTTATATGTGTATCCAAGATTGGTCACCCATCTCCAGACAGTTTTAATTGATGCATTTACATTTAAAGCATATTTAATTTCAATTATAGTTGTCGTTGTGTTATCGTTTATAAGCTCTTCAATTCTTCTTCTAATCTCTTCATTATAAATAACGTGACGAGCGCCACCTCTAGAACCAGGAAGTATTGAATTCGTTCGATCGTACCTTCTTAAAATTGATTGTATTCTGTTTCGATTAACTCCTGTTAACGATGAAGCTTCAGATTAATTTTTTCCTTGATCAACGACTAGATTTACAACAAGATCTCGCATGTTTTGGGAAACAGAATTTCGCGGTATGAAGATTCAGATTGATTTTTTCGTAGCAATGAAGTTTCAGATTGAATTTTTCTTTAATCAACGACCAATCTCAAAACAAATTTTCGCTTATTCTGGCAAACAGCAGCCGTATTCTCATCTCTCCGTTAAGCTTAACGGAACTTTTGTCTGAAATTTCATTACAATATTTCTAAGTGAAGAAATGACAAAAACTTTGTTTAAATTTTTTAATATAAAACTAATACTAAAATAAAACATTTATTTTTAAAAAATTATATTTTTAAAGAACTTTTTTTATTAATGTAGTTAAAAAGAAATTTTCTACTAACGCTCCGTTAAGCTTAACGGAGAGATGAGAATACGACTGCAGAATTTCGCTTCATGTTTTAATGAAAATCTAATATCTTCATGCGCTAAATATTTCAATAGGAAATCATGGTTGTTTTAATTATCATCATGTTTTAATTGAACATCATGTTTAATTGAATCATGTTTAATTGAACATCATGATTAATTATCATCATGTTTTAATTGAACATCATGGTTGTTTTGCCAATACAGTATGTGTATAAAAAATATGGTTTTGCATCCATTTAAAACAAACGTGACATCCATTCAAATTTAAAATAAATTCCATTAAATTAAAATAAATTAATATAATATTAATAAAAAATAAATTTTTATAATATTAGATAGATAAATATATAAAGAAGACCTATTTTTTTAAAATAATATAGAATGTTGAGATTTCGCAAGCGTTAAATGTTTTAAATGAAAATCACGATTGTTTTAATTGAAAATCACGATTGTTTTAATTAAAAATCACATTGTTTTAATTGATTGTCGCTGTGTTTTAAATGGTTGTCATGATTGTTTTAAATGGTTGTCATGATTGTTTTAAATGGTTGTCATGATTGTTTTAAATGGTTGTCATGGTTGTTTTAAATGGATGTAAAAACCGGTAATAGTATGTATTTGTAAGGAAACTCGCAGAATACTAAAAGAAGTCTTTTCATCAACTGAAAATCTCAAAAACTTTGTTTTTTTCATGGGCAACGTTCTTCGTGTTATATATCTATTGGCGTTGGTTTGAAAAATGTTATTAGTAAAATGAGTTGGGGCAAGTCCGAGCTTATTTTTTAGAATAAATAAAATATTTTGGTAGATGTTTATTTGATAGATATTTAAAGCATTCAAAAAAAAAAAAATTCTCACTTAGCATTTAAAAAGATGTTCTCACTTATAAAAAAATAAATTTAAAAAAATATGTTTCTATCCTTTTGACCCGTTGGATATCTAGGAAAAAAATTGAAAAACCCAAATTTGAAAATAAAAGGGTCAAAATAATTTCTTGTTTTTTCTATAGAATCACGATGTGGATTTGCTGCCTTATTTTTTTTAGTATTAAACGAGCTGCTAACTGCAGGGCAGTTAATACTGAAAAAAAAAATAGTACTGAAAAAAATAAGTTGTTTCCTAAATTACTTTAAAACCTAATTATTCAGTTAGTGAACCATAACAAAAATAAAAGCAAAAAGAAGTTTCAATAAAAATACGTGAAAATCAAAAATTACAATTTCTTGCTTATTTTACAGCTTAAAAAGTTCAACAAAAATGTCTTATATAGAGTATGTTCCTTTCTTAATTTCAATGTTAAATTTCCTCTCTTTTTGCAACCATTTCACACAATGGGCGCATGTTTTATAAGTTTTATAAAATTAGTTTATAAAATTATAAATCTAGTTTATAAAATGTAATTTAGACGTCATATACACGTCTTGTGCCCACTAACCAGATCTTATTTTGGTCATAATGATGGCCAATATAAGTATTGGCCATTATTATGATATTCCTTAATAAGATATATTAGTCGCTTCTTGATACAATTCTATAAGTAATATGTAGATAATGTGAGTAATAGTTAATATGTGGATAAGTATAGATAATAAGTGGAGTAAACGTGGATAGGAAAGCGTTCAAATTTTAGAACGCGAACATTGAGAGTTTGAATTTTTTTATATGCAGCCATAGTGTTTTGGTTAAAGTTCTGGATTAAGAACTGGGGTCTGTTGTTTGAAGCTGCCTCTGGCTATATATGTATTACGAGTAAGGAAGTGGATGTGAAATTCCTAGTTAAATACTTTTCTGTAGTGCTCTGTGATAAAACCATGAAAAATTCTTAATGCATCAAAATAATTAACAAAAAAAAGTAAAGAATTTGGTTAACTGCAAGACCGATTGGATCAATATGCGGTTTTTGATACTCATTTATCAAAAACGCACATTCAGACATGCTGATTTTGTTGGAAAAAAACGCAAATCCTAATACAGGCACATAAAATCTTTGGAAAATCTTTTCTTGCTGGTCATCTCTCTCTCTTTATATATATATATATACATATATATATATATATATATATATATATATATATATATATATACACACACACACACACACACACACACACACACACACACACACACACACACACACACACACACACACACACACACACATGTGTGTGTGTGTGTGTGTGTGTATATATATATATATATATATATATATATATATATATATATATATATATATATATATATATATATATATATATATATATATATATATCCACTGGGTTGTTTTGAACAACTGAAATTTCTTTAACGGATACGACTATTAGAGTAGTAAAATAATAATAAGGTTAAAAAGTGTAATTTTAATAATTAGAAATTATTATAAAATTATTTTTGGAAAGTTTATGTTAAAGTTACCTTTACTAATAAATAGTTTATAATGAAAAAGCTTCGTTTCAATTCAAATGAAAGGAGATTTTTAAAATTAAATATCGAATCACTTTTCTGATTAGACTCGATTTGAAATATTGAAGCTTTGCAGGGGCCTAATATATACAGGGGCGAATCCATGGGGGATTCTGTCAAAAAAAAAATTTTTAGTGTATTTTTATATTTAACTTATATTCTGATTTGTGAGCTTGCCTGTACAAACTATTGAATTTAAAAATTGCCCCTTTACATGGTGGTCTGGATCTACCACTGATATTTATAGAACGTTTGTTAAAAAAAATAAATAAGATAAGACAGGTAAAACAACTTTGTAACAAAAGATTAAAGCCCAAAATTATAAATGCAAACAAGAGTAATTGTAAAACAGAAAATGACTCATAAAATAGAATCTCCTTACCCAAATCATTAACAATTACAAAAACCAAAGTATAAACAATAAGTTAGTTATCAGAAATATCTCACTATTAATAGTTTGCGAAAATCGTGTCGTGTTGTGTCGTGTCTATATAATCCTAATAGTTATAAAAAATTTTGAAAAACATTTTTGTAATTCTATTGGTAAATGGAAATATCTATGTAGGCTATGATAAGTTGAAAACAACTAATTCCTATGTCCAGAAACGAAAATTATTTTTAAAAGATTATTTTGTAGATCAAAACAGTTTTTTTGTCCAAGCTTCACTAAATCTTACTATGTGAACCGTTGAATATTAGCATAAAAAATCTTGTTGACGAGATATTTTGAGACAAAGAAAGTTTAATCACAACTTAAAACTATAAAATTTTTGTTAAATTGTTTTAATTTATTATTTAAATTAGTTCTACTATAAAAAATTTATTGAATCTATAGTATATATTTTTTAGTATATATAAATATATTTTAAACATTGCATTATTAACGAATGTGTAAATATTTAAAAGAAAAATACGATAAACATATTTGTAAACTTGTTATCTAACATTTTATTGCCATTATAATGAAATGATTTAACGTTAAACTTTTGTGAATGTGTTTTTGTATGTATGACAATATAAAGTGGTTCTTGATTTGATCTTCTGCAAGTTTCTTTAGTTCTTTTTACTGTGTTGCAGTGAACTTTATTTATTATTTTTGTGAAATCACTTTGTATTTTTATTTGTATATTCACTGTTAACAAATCTTTATTATGTAATTACGAAGTTACGATATTAAGGAACAAAATAAAACTTAAAATAAAAACAATTGAGTCTGATATATTAAAATATATTTGTTGTATTAACATAAGATTCCATCAATTATATAAAATTTAACAACTTGAAGAATTCCAAGTACATTAACGCTAAAATTTGTATCATTAAAAAATTTGTAAAAATTGCAACGTTAATAAAAATATCATGATTACGATTTTGATAATTAACATATAAGTATATTATGGTTATTGCTTTTGGAATTCTTCATATTGTCGTCAATAATTCTGACATCACATACTAGTTCTTCTTAACGCATTATTGATTTTAAATTTTATATTTATAATTTAAAGAATTATATGCATACTTTATTAGAGCATAGAATAAATTTATACAACTTGAAGGTGGTCGTATAGTAAAAAAAAGTGTTATTTTTTTTCTTGGGTTTGTTTGCGCTTTTTTGTTGTTGAGTTACTAACAACATGTTATTGATTGCTTCTTGTTTATTTTTTTAAAATTCGATTAAGCGCAAATGAGGGTAATAAATAATGTTTGAAACGCTAAGTTTGATTATGGCATGTTTTATGATCCATTAAGCAAACGAAAGATGTCATTGGGATTGTTTGGTTCGTGCATGCAGATAAATTCCTCTGAATTTTCTAATTTTAGAAACTCTTCTAGCTCAAGCAAATCTTTTTCTAAAAGAACTTTACAAACTAATCAAACCGCTAAGAAAAACAAATGGCCGTCACTTGTTTTGCTCACAAAAGCAGAAGAATTAGTTATAGTAAATGGAAGAAATAGAAGAAGGTTTCCTGATCCTGTTCGAGATCGGTAACAAAATTAGTATTATTGTTTATATCTTGAATTATTTTTTTATTTAATTTTTTATATTTATCATATTTATAATTTTTTTACATCAATCGCTATTTTGATATAAAAAGGTATGGTAATAATAAATTAGACCAATTACAATACAAAAATTAGCTGATCACAAAAAATATATATATAACATTTAAGTTTAATTATTAATTTAATGGTTTATTAAAAAGCAAGTTTTTATTTGCAATTATTAGAGCTTGTATCTACATTTACATTACAATTCAACACTAAATGCAATAAGGTTGTATCAAAATGTAGTCTAACAAACGTTTTATTGACCCTCTTAAACAAATTCTTGTTTTATTTTGAAATTGAAATCTTACAGTTGAATATAATGTATATCTAAAAGTTAACATAAAGATTATTGAAAAGTAAGTAAAAATAATTTATTGTGTTGTGCCTTATTAAATGTCTATAAGCTAAACCCTTTAAATAAAATTTATATTATGTTTTCAAAACCTAATATAATGATTTAATTGTATTGTTAGTGGTTGGTGTGCGTAATCCTAAACTATAAAATGAATTGAATAATTTTTTTATGAATACATTATTTTATTTTATTAATATATATCTTTGAGATATTTTTTTATCTTAAATTTTTTATTTATGAAATTTATTTAGGTCAATTTTATTGGCTTGTTTAGACCCTTTTACTGAAAATATGTTATATCTCTGTCATTGTAAACATCAAAGAACAATAAATGCTAATCCAGCTGTATTTAAGCAGAGAGTGACTTTAGATGATGACGAATGTCAATATTTTATAAGTCTTGATATTATTCAAATTGATGATAGTAATGATACTCAAATAAACTATGATGACATATTAAAAAACTTTCTCATAGCAGACGTTCGTGAGCATGCAATTGCTGGAGAATGTCTTCCTGCTGGAGTGTCTGGATATTGGGTTCGGATTTTTGGTCCACAAAGAAAGTTTAAGTTTATAGTGTCATTATGGAGAGATATATCTGAAAATATAAAATCACGAACAGATGGACTAATGAAAATTGGAGAAATTTGTATAAATATTTTAAATACTGGTGTAAGCAGAGCAAAAAAAAAACAAAAAAAGAATAATGCATTATCAGCTTCTCGAACCATGATGAATAGTTCAAATATAAATATTAGTAACAGTTTTCCATCTTTTTGTTCTCGTGAACTCTACATCCTTATGTCAACTTCATTGCGTGAATGTTTAGAAAATGGCAAGTTTGATTTGTTTGAAGAAATGTATTCAAAATTCTCAGGAGACTTGACAATAAAAAATCAAGATAATATTGAACTTAATCATTTTTTAAGCAGCGAGAAAGCTCTTTTTTTAGCCATGCAAGGGAAGCTTGCTGAAGCAAAACACCTTCTACAAACAACAGTAGAAAAAAGTGTACCGAAGAGTCCGAATAAAATTTTTTTATTAAATAAAGCATATCTTGTTTTAACAAATGTGCACATTATTGAAGGAAATTATGGTACAGCTGAAGAATGTTTAAATGTTTTACAAGTTGACAAAAAAAATGGTACACCTTTTGATGATGCTGCTTTTTTTTATTATCTATATGGAATTATTTTAATGAATTTTGGAAAATCTTTGCAAGCTTTTTCTTCAAGTTTATGGAAAGAAAGTTATGAAGCGTTTATTAATTCTCTAAATAGCTTTGATCAATCTTCACCATCTATGTTAAATCAACGATGCAAAATTATACTAAACATCATACGTTTATCATTATATGCAATTTCTAGAAAAATCAAAATTCCATCAATTAGTTTATCTGAATTATGTCCAATTTGCAACGATATTTCTGATGTAAAAGAATGTATAAAAATGGTAGAAATGATTAGTTTACATAAAATGTCTGCCAGGACCTTTTGTTTGCTTAATCTTGTAAAAGCAGAAGTTGTTTTTAATGAAAATAACTGGGCTGCTGGTTATGCTATGTTAGAAGATCTTGAAAAAGAATGTTCAAAATTAAAATTTAAAGATATAAGCTTATTAGGTGATAGTGTGAGATCCTGGTGGAGATCCAAGGAGTACAAAGAATTTATGCTGAGTATAGAAAATGATTGCGTTTTAGATCTTTCATCTGAAAATGTAACTCAAGATACTTATGGTGGGGATGAAAGTGGAATTTAATTTACTAAATAAATTTATTAAATCTTTTTAAAGAAAATTTTTTTTTTTTTGTTTCTTATTAAAAAATTAAAAAAAGTCTTTACAAGACTTAAGTATTTGAAAAATATTTTCATATAGAAGAGGCTATTCTAGGAAAATAAATTGGGCGGCGGTAAACCCGTACCGGTATCTTTCCGTAAGAAAATTAGCGGTGAGTATGTGAAAAAAAATCGGTATTTGCCGTAATAAAAAAATTTTGGCGACGCCCAAATACGGTCGGCTCTGTCGAAAGCGGTTTAGAATAGCCCCTGTATAGATATATTTAACTATAAATTTATTTCATAATCGCTAGTATATGGAATACTTGAAGTTCAATACATACCTTAACTTATTTAGTTATTTACACAAATTTAAGAAAAAACAACTTTCCTCTTCGTATTTGTAGTTTTTTAATAAAAGTTTGAAAAATATTTAGGCATTTTAATTATTTAAGCAGCAAATCAAGTTTAATTGCTTTTCTTAAAAGCGAAAAAAAATTTTTTAATGTTAAAGGACATGATACACTAGGACACTTCTACAAACATAGGAAACTCTAGTTTTTTATAATATTTCATTGAATTTTGATTTAGTAAACATATTAAGGCCAATAATTTAAGGCTAAAAATATATATTAGTTAAGCCTTTATTTATCTTTAAAATAATTAACTAATCATTTCATATTCTTACCCTTATATATAAATCATAATCATATTGGAATAAAATTTTTTTGGTGTTTAAATTCAAGTCATCAAAGTATTGTATATATGATAAAATATCACGTACAAAATTTTGTTTAGGTTTTAGTTTTAAATGTAAATATTAATTTTAGTAAGCCTAGAGCGCAAAGTGGGGGAAAAAGGTAACTCGATAGTTTTTCAATTAAGTAATTTCAAAATACCATTTTGTTTAATAATTGTTTTATGAAAGATATGAAAAAGTAGCGTAGTCAAATAGAAGTGAGGCAGGGAGGCATCTTGCCTCACTTCTAATCAATTACTTTGATAAAAACAACATCTTTTTAGTAAAATTGTTTTTTTAAAAATTGTTAAAAATTAAATATTACCAATCCATAATGGCCGAAAGTAGCATAGTCTAGGCACTTTTTAATGACAACTTTAAATAGAGAAGAAAATTTCCAATAGCGTTAAGTAGCATGGATATCAACATTTAAATCATTTTATACAAAATTATACTTTAATATTTATAGCAATTATCTTAATAACACATCAATTTCAGGAAAACTATTTTAAAATTTAAACTTCATTACATAAAATTTAAAGTTGCATGATGTATAAGAACTAATATATATGAAAACATATTGAAAATTTCAAGTTTTTTTATTTTTTTCTAATTTTTTTTTTAACATCTTCGCTTCCAATAATGCTGCAAGCAACCTTTAATTAGAGTTAGAATTTACTGAAAGAGAAAAAATGAAGATTGTAGAGCTAGATGACGATTGGCAGACAACTTTAAAGATTGAAAATTATATGAATCAAGAAAGCAAGATGAAAGAAGCGAATTCCAAAAAACTTATGTTTGAGGAAAAAAACTAGACGAAAAAGAGTTTTTGGAGCACTTAGGAACAGTCGCAGTAAAAGGATGAGACATAATTGAATGACGAGTAACACGAGAATGAAATTTAGTAGATGGCACAAGAGACGCTAGCTCTTTAGAGCAGTGCCCATTATAATATTTGTAAAAAAGAGAAAGGTAAGCAACATTACGATGATATGATAATGGTTGGAAGTTGGCTGCAACTTTATTTACAATGCGTTTTTGAGCCTTGTCTAAAAATGAAAGGGCATCATTAGAAGATCCGCCCCAGATATGGCAACAGTATTCCATACAAGGCCGGATTTGACATTTATAGAGATAGAGAATAGAATACGGAGTGAGTGAGTGTCGAGCTCGATAAAGAGATTTAACCTTAACAGATGCTTATTTTGCAACGGATTTGATATATGGTTTCCAAGAAAGATTAGAAGTAAGAGTTAATCCTAGAAGATGAAGGGTAGATGACTCATCGAGTACATTACCGTTCATAAATATAGAAAAATCTAAATTATTACGATAACGATTGGCTAAAAAAATTTGAGTTTTATATGAATTTGTATTATTTTATGTTGTTTTACATTTGTATTATTTTATGTTGAGTTTGCTGTTACCGCCTGGTGCCCGTACCTCAAAAAAGACATAAATACCATTGAACGCATCCAGCATCGGGTTACCAAAGTACCACACGAAAAAAAAGCACTTCTACTACAAGACGAGATGCATCAAACTCGGACTCACCTCACTACTCGATAAACGTTTATGCAGCAATCTCATCTAGCTAGTATATTGTTCCACTTAACATCCTACCAAGCTACGCTCATCGAAAAGAGTTCCAGGTTCGAAACGAGCTCTAAACATTTTTTCCCGTCACGGTAAGGAAGAAGGCGTGAACTTCCTTGTTAAATGCACCTCCGCGGTGCATTTAACCAGGAAATTCACGCCTTCTTCCTTACCTTCTCCGAAAACCCAGTTAACCATTCCAGCTGGGACCCAACTGGGGAAAATGCTGGGACCCATTGCGATTCTGTCAGTGGAATCCAACTGGGTCCCATTTGGGATTAGTCTGGGTTTTTGACGGGAAATCCCATATTGAACCCAGATATTTTTTTTCATTTACCGCGGGTTTTCTCAATTTTTAGTTTGTTTTTCACAGATTTTTTGTATCTCGATTATGTGACAATTTTTTGATTAAAAAGCGTCGCATTTTTTATATACAATTAAAAAGTAAAGGTTATTTATATTATCTAAATTCGCTGTCAGGGCGAAAAAATTTATTAGGCAAATGAATATTTGGTCTGACATAATTTTTACGAATAAATTGAAAAAACATATTCGAATTTCATAAAATTTTTAAGCAACAAAAAACTAGTACAATGATTTGATGCAAAACTGTTCTACGATAGTAATATTCTACCACATTAGTTCTCTCATATCGCCACCATAATCACATGACAAAATTCTGCTTTAAAGTTTATCGTTTTGCTTCTTTAGTGCTTTCATCCTTTTTTACACTAATTTTATAAATTAAAAATAAACATTTGAATAATATAATAATTTATAGCATATATATTTACAAAGTTCAGATAAAAATATTTATTGATAATATTATTTAGGGCATATCATGCAGTGTGCCATACCATGCCATATCTTGCATATAACTAACAAACACTGGACAAACAAAAACACGTACAAAATCACAAGCTAACTCAATACAGTAAATAAATCGATATACGTGTTATATCTAAGATAACCATAGCCAGATTGAAGTAGAGGACCAGGGCAGGACAAGTATAATACTCATAGTATGAGTACTATACTTATTGTTACAAAAATAACAAAAATTAAAATTAAAATAAACATAACATAAATAATAAAATACAAAAATAAATACTGGAGAACTGAAGCCTCGACATGACACCATGAATAACGGTGTTTCAACTTCTTCAGTTGCCATCATCTAGTTTTAAAGTTTCTTCAGTTTTTCTTTGCAACAGGCATCCTGCAGGGAATCTAAAACAAAGTCATTTTACGGTAAATGTTTGATGTTGTTAATAAGGCATGATATAAATAGACTTGTAAATAACAATAATATAACATGACTACTATGTTACCATTTGAAATTTAAAGTCTTGATTCAAGTTAACATAACATAAAACCCTTGATTCAAGTTAACATGACATCAAACCCTTAAATTGGTTTAATATCTTTTATATCATTGGTTTAATATCTTTTATTATATTGGTTTAATATCTTTTATATTATTTAATAAATGCAAAAATAATCAATATCACTATAATTTTGATTATATCTAATTAAACAATAAGCTTTTTAAGTTTCATTATTACTTGAAAATAACTATTTGTTACAACTTAAATATATTGAAAAAAATTAAAAACAATTGTAGTTTTGACCACAATAAATTTTGTATTAAAATTATATTTACAATGAAAATTCAAAATTATAAACAAGCGTAGAGTACTTATATTAATATATATAATACTTATATTCATGATAAGTCAAACATAACGTATTTTAATTATCATGGACCAAAATTTATTGCTTAACTTGATGTTGTCTTTGAGCTACGTTTTGTGATTATATATTAAATTTATTTCACAGTAGATTCTAAAAAATATACAACACCCTATTAAATTGGTTTAAAAAATCATTAGTTAGTTAAGTTAAAACGTCTTTACCACCGTCAGAAACTCGCTATGCGTTTAATCAATTTTTCAGATCGATTCTCACATAGTTAATTAGTTAAGTAAATTACACGGAGCGGGCGTGTTCCGTAAGCCCATCAACAGCTAGCCGTGCTAGCTCGTGCGAAATTGCACGGAAGATGATGCGCTGTAGTAATTATTAAAGCTGATCGAATTTTGCTTTGAAGCGATCGACACTGGTAGCACTGACTACTACGTTAGGTAATGCGTTCCATGGGTGAGCGACGTGGTTGTTGAAGGAATTATAGCGAACGAGGCAGTTGTTATCCATTTCACGATGAAAACGCTTGCGATGACCGTAGCTAGGTGGGATGTTAGGTGGATCTATATGCCAGCTAGTTGAGTCGATACTGTTTTCGAATTCATATTTTTGAATGAGGTCGCCGCGTAAACGTCTATTTAATAGAGACGTGAGACCGAGTTTGATGCATCTTGTCTCGTAATCGAAGCGCTTTATTTATGGCGGTACTTTGGTAACCCGGTGCTGAACACGTTCTATGGCATTTATGTCTTTTTCAAGATGCGGGCACCAGGCAGTAACTGCAAACTCGAAAAGTGGGCGTATATAAGAGGTGTAAAGTTTTTTTCCATATTTTGGTATCTCTGCTTATAAACGTGTTTTTCAATGTCCCGAGGACTTGATTAGCTTTGGCAGCGGCTATTTGTGCTTGCCTCTCGTATTTTAAGTCGTTGGAAATTTGAACGCCTAGATCTTTTTCGGATGTTGAAGACTCGATTACTG